ATTGGTGATGAAAATGCTCGAGAGGATGTAAAGACACCTTCCCTCCTAGTCAGCCCATCTTGTCTTCCCTCTTATCTATTTATGGAACCGTCAAGTGGCACAAAGTAACTACTTTCTACTAGAATAATCTCTGGCTTGTCAATATTTATATTTTGCAACCTAAAATTGAGTTGATTTTTTGGTGTTAGAGCGTGACCGGATGCGGGCCTTTAACCTTGACAATGTAGCCTTATTAAATGACTACTTTATATGAAGGTGGTGCTCCTAGATGAGTATGACGAGCCCTTGTGATCGTCTTTCCCTTGTTTGGAGAGTATTTTATGAACTATTGCTGTTACTTCTGCGACAATGAATCTTTTGAGAATATGATATCTGTGAAGCCACTCTCGAATGTTGGTTGGGGAAACCGTGAAACGTTTAGCGATTTGTAAGGATGAATCGGAAAGACATCACCGTCGAAAAACTACCTGGAATTATCTTTCTACCTAGCTTTTTACAAACAACAATGTATTTGAAATAAGAGTTGGTGCCAGTTGGGGATTTCAATGGCGGTTGGAACGCTCAATGTAGGATATCTGTCAGATGTTGTCTCTTGTTGTGACTCTTGCCTCCCGAGAAGGACCAGGAGTCACAAAAATGAGTGCCGCACCATCAGACAATCTGAAGGAGAGGCAGCTTAGGGATTCCCATCTTTACGGTGACCCTCCTGGTGTACAAACGTCCCCCGGACGTGCAAAGTGGTGAAGATGTCTCATTTGACCTGTTAAAACTTTGAGTAACCCTGTCTCAGATGCCAGCCCAGTTTTAATCTCTTGGTTTAACTATTATAATTGAATATGTAAAGTGAAGCAGTCTTCCTTACTTCCACAATTTATAAGGCACTCTGGACGTCGAATAAGCTGTTTATTCCGCATTATGGTATTGTGGAATCTGTTCCCGTAAGTGAATTTGGTGAATATCAAGTAAAATTGAGTAATGAATGCTACTTATTAAAGCACTGACAAAGAACCACTGATAGATACTGCTGGAAGGGGACTTCGAAAATCTCTTTCACGTAGCTGTAAGCTAGAGGAAAGGTGTCTAAACCAGATTTATTCAAAAGTCTGGGCTTAAGCATTACCCAATCAGGATGATAAAGACGGCGACTATTAAAAAGTTGATGACTTACCCCTTCGTAAGAATTCCTTTTAAGGCTATTGTCTGTGTACTGTGCAAAACAATGATATAGAAGGCGAGGTGAGCATTTACAATTACGCAATTCGCCTGGGTTAAAGTACTTGGTAAACAAACTCAAAACATTCTTCCAAAAAAACTTTTTAGCATTTAAAGACAATTGTATTTCTCTTTTTTAATGGGAAAAAGGAGGAAAAGTGGAGCGAACCTTTATTTTCCACACTAAGTGACTGTCACAGCTTCTGCCATTAACTTAGCAAATAGAATGAAGAAAAAAGAAAATACGAAGTAGTTATTAATCATGAAACTGGCGTCTCACTTCTACCGCATCATCAGTGTAGCTAGCTAGGCACACAAACGAGCCCGAAATGCCTTCAAGGTGGGTGTGACGTCGCTTATCACTCGACGGCATAAAGTGGCGCGGACTACGGCTAGGCACACCTTCCAGGACTTGTGACCCACCACCCAGGAGCCACGGTGTGAGAGACCTACCTCTAACAAGAGATGAATTGACTATAAAAAAAGGGAACTAAGTAATAATATCCAGCATCTTCTTTTAATGAGGATTAAGTAAATGGTAAAAGCCTTTTCAAGGATCTAACCTTGTTGAAACAGTCAGCACTACGGCCGAGAAACGAGGACGGGACGGGCTTGCACAATGTCAGGCTCAAATATTCCCCAACATTAAAACGTAGATCCGCATCGTAAGGAGGTACCTTTGAGTACCTAATGCCACTCCATTTAAGCAATGATGGTAATTTCATCAAAAACTTGGGATGCGTAGGCCTTTTACCACAGCTACCCAAAATACAAATTGAGGCGCACGAGGTGCAGAGAC